CATAGTCATTACTTAAGAACTCTAAAGTTGACATCCAATAATTAATGAGAACTTTGTAATTATTATTCGTATGTATACATAGAAAGCTTACCAACCATCACCATTAATTGAATAACAAGCTTTTTATTCCTAATTTCTTGCTTGATGTTGTGTCTGCAAGCTTTAAAACCTTATCATCATTCACATCTGTCTCTTATAAAACAGAACCATTTTTTTTTTTCAAAATTTTTGTTCTCTGAAGTCCCGTTATTGCTATCTCCTTTTTCTCTTCGAATTCGAGGTACATATTGTTTTCTGAACATTCTTAAATTATGTTATTTATATTCATAGTATTCACAGACTCTATGTTGTTGAGAAAATAGGGTTTATCCTTCTTGAATTATCCTATCCAAATGAGTCTGTTTGTGCAGAAATAATTGTTTTCCGAGAAAAGAAAATTTCATCAAATTAAACATTTAGATGAGCGAGACTTAAAGAAAATTTCGTGCAATATTAGGACAAGCTTATTCTCAAGAAAAAGTTGCTATAAAATTTGCATGAAATCAGTCTTAATACAGTGTCAAAGCAAATTAAAAATAAATTATGCATTTTATAAGCTGGGATATAAGTTATATTGTGCTGAAAAATAACAATTTAACTAGAAACCATAAATATTGTATAAAGAACCTTTTATAAAGGGATTTAGGCCTCTTAATAGCTAGGTATATGCAATAAGAAAGAAATTTTTAAGTGTATCATTATCTTTCTTTTTCTCTCTTGCATTCTTTGTTTGACGTTAATAGGTTAAATATTGCTAGAGAGAAGAACGAGTGATACGAATTTAGAGAGAATGCCTTACTCTAATGGGGGGGGAGGGGGGCCTAGAGTTTCTAAGTGAAGGCAAGTGCTACTATATATGTAATATATTAGGGAATGGATAAAACTTAAAAAATTGATGAATGTGAAAGTATTAGTTCCTCTTTGATACATATTTTTTAAAAAATACATTTTGTAAAAAGTGATTTTTTGGAAAATGTGTACTTAAAAAGTAGAGAAAAATTATGAATCTCCATACATAATTATTTTATTGAGAGAATATATCATTAAAAATGGTTCGTGGAAAAATATATTTTGAAAAATGGGAGTTAAACATGAGCTTACGTGAAATTCAACATACTAGTTAGACAATGGGTAACAATCATTGAAAATTTGAATTGATCACGAAAGAAAAGAAGAAAAAATGGCAACAGTATTGGTGTTTTAGTGAATAATTACCATTCAAGAAATCTTGGTATTTTTACACGAGGCAATTAAGCTAAATATCAGTGATTTACTCATGAAAGCCAATAGATAAAGAAAGAAGGTTCAGTTTTTCTTGTGGCAAAGTCCATCTTGAGGCAGCTTTAAACCAACCCACTTTTCCAATTCCGTTTCTATCTATTTTTCTGTACTGCTTGATTAAACTGGAGATTTCTTTCTGATATTTTAAAATCCTCAGTTGATAGAGTCTTTGATGTGCGTGATGATGGACGAAACCAGTGGAGGCTATAGTGATGATCCAAGGACTTGTCCTCGAGGACACTGGAGACCTTCTGAAGATGAAAAGCTCCGGCAGCTTGTAGAAAAATATGGCCCTCAAAACTGGAATTCAATCGCTGAAAAACTTCAAGGGAGATCAGGTTAATTTCCGTGTGTGTGCCTGTGTTATTTTATATATATTTTTTTTTTATTTTTCTCAATCATTTCTAGCTGTACTGTTCAAAATTAGGGTTACTTGTTTGAGGTTCCATAGTCCAACTTTTGAACTGGTTATCTATTGATAATAGTGTTGAACCTAATCATAGTGAACACTTAATCTTTTGGCTACAAATTCTTCGAGATATATATCGTATTTCAAACATGTATTGAGTTGTCTTAATCAACGTTATTACTGTTTCAAGGGTTTAGGTAGCTGACTTAGGAGTATTAGAAGAATCGTGGACTTTTGTGTTTGATCTATCTAGTCAATTTGCAGGCAAGAGTTGCAGATTGAGATGGTTTAATCAACTTGATCCAAGAATAAACAGGAGGCCATTTACAGAAGAAGAAGAGGACAGGCTTCTTGCAGCACATCGAGTACATGGCAATAAATGGGCTCTTATATCCAGGTTTTTTCCAGGTAGAACTGACAATGCTGTGAAAAATCATTGGCATGTTATTATGGCCAGAAAACAAAGAGAAAAATCCAAGCTTTCTGGTAAAAGGAGTCATCATGAAATTAGTCATGACTCCAAATCCTCATCTTACGTTAAACGAAAAAATTCAAGATCCCACGATGAATATGTGCCCAAAATCAGCTTTGAAAATGGTGGGATTTTGGAATTTCAAAGTCAAAACAAAGATCAAGTCTTCTCCGTGTCATCGTCCTCTGATTCACACGCTTTATGGCCCTCTTTTATTCCAAGAAATTCAAGGGAAAATAACCTATCTTCTGCTGCTGATTTGTTTGTAAGAGAAGGCAATAATCAATACAATTCCAGCTCCAACAGCGCACGTTTAAATATGTCAATATTTGGTGCCTGTGCAGCATTTGGCACCCAAAACTACAAGAGGGTTGTCCCATATCCCTTTGGTGATGGCAGTAGAAAGCATGGGAAAATGAATAGAGATAATTTGACAAGTATTAATGTCGATAATTTACGCCCCTTTTCCAATGCAAGGGCAAGCATAAAGCAGAAACAAGAAGACCAGTCCATCCGCAAAAAGGACATTCCCTTCATAGATTTTCTTGGTGTGGGTATTTCTTCTTGATAACTATATTATTTAATTCTTTTTCTTTCAATTTACATAGCACTATTGGGATGAAGAGTGCTTGTTAGTCAAGTGGAATGCTCAAGTTTAAGTTAAATCATGGCTCAATTAACAATTTCAGTTTAATTGTTTGAGATTAGAGGATAATAATGTATTTTACAATTTTTCAGAGTCTTTTGCTTTGTATGACGTTCTATTTAATATTGTGACAGTTTATTTTACTTATAATACGTAGTACTTGTTAGCACAAAGTGAATGTATCTAAGTTTTTTATGTTATAATCCAGAAGTTAATTTCTTTGTAGCTAAACCATTATGAGAAAGCCAAAGATACTCGTGAATATGTAAAGAACCCAAAAATACTAATGTCTTGACTGCATTTAAGAAGGTTTATGGATTGTGAACTGCCTAAATTTATCATAGAAGAGGAAATGATGGAGAAAATTAACTAAGAAAAGTGCGATATAAGTCTCAAATCAATCATGAGAATAATCTTGAGTTTATATCAGAATTTGAACTACTCTTATAGGTTAACGTTTTTAGATGGGACCCAATTTTTATAGGTCATGCCTCAAACCGAACCAAGTGAACACATAAGATGAATTCCAAAGTGTAGTTGAGAAGAGATGGGCCATGGTCAATCATGATGGCAAATGAAATCTATTGTTGGTTCTCAATGCCCTTTTATGCATGTGGAGCTTGATGTCATTGAAGAATTGATTATTGATTGGTGTGTGAACCTTTCTAGTTTGAAGGAGATAGATTAAGTGTCATATATTGAGATGATGTAGCACTTCGTACGAGAAGTTTTTTGGGAAAAAAGTGCGGCAAATGTATGACATCAACTAGACATGAATATGATTTTAAATTCATTAAGAGATTTCAACTACTCTTCGTATTAAAAAAATGTAAATGCAAATTTTCTACACATTAATTTATCCAAACTTTAGATGTTTCTCAAAAGAGTGCACGTTGGGTGGGCTTAACACACGATAAGTTTCTTATAAGTGAAAAAAAAAAAAGTCTTGAAATGGCTCATATGCCATCCATTTACTTCGTCTTGCTAGCCCTCACCGCTAATCTTTAAATATATGAACTTACGATTTATAACCAAACCAAGTCATTAGATTAATTAACAAGCAAAAAATAGTAAATTAGTTGAACCTAACATATTAATAATCAAGAATGACTTAAATTTTTTGATTCCTGAAGAAAATATTAGTTAATTCTCATCGTACAAAGGAAACATTTTGTGATTTGGTCCAACCATAGAAGCAGCTGTTTATTTTATTTTATTTTTTGTCACATTGCATATTGCTACCTAAGTTTTGTGGACATTATTTATAATTTAAGCATTATTTTTTTTTATATTTTTCTCCCTCGAAGGCCAAGTAGACCGAGCCACCTCTAGTGTTTTCAAATACGCAGGTTTGGTAAACTCCTTTAAGAAGATTGGCTTTTCAAAATAGACACTCGCACCCTAATAACTTTATAAGATCAAATCAAACGCTATCTTTTGATGGGATCATGTTGTTTGGGAATGGCAATAGGGTTTGTCGGCTCGGGAGAATCGAGCCGAGACCCATTTTTAGATACCGGGCAAAGTTCGAGCCGGACCGTGTGGCTCGTCGGCTCGGACGAACCGAGCATATATTAAAAAAAAAAAAATTAATTAAAGGCAGCAGCACGCTGCCTTGAAGAACCGAGCATATATTAAAAAAAAAAATTAAAAGCAGCAGCACGCTACTTTTAAGGCAACGTGCTACTGTCAAAAATAGGCAACAGGTTGTTGCTGTCTTTTTAATTATTAAAAAAATAATAATAAAAAGCAAAACTCGAGCCGGCCCGGCTCGGAAAGGTCCAAGTCGAAAGCTCGGGTTGAACCTAATTTTTTTTGTCGAGCTTTTGTTCGGGCTTGGAAAAAAGTTTGAATATTTTACCCGAGGCGAGCCTAAGCCTAGAATTTCAGCTCGGGAGTTTGCTCGGCTCGGTTCGACTCGACTCATTGACATCCCTACATGTTGTTGATTTGTAATAAGTAAATTTTGATAAAATTTGATAAAAATTGTGGACCCGTAAAATACTTGGTTAAATTGAAAAAACTCAAACAAGCCCCCGTTTGGTAGTAATTTTTCATCCAAAAAATCAAAATTTTGACATTTATTTTACTATTTTAATCGTTATTTTTGACTTCTTCACTTATAGGTAAAACCCACTTTTCTCTCTAACGGTAAAAAAATTAGTTCTCATAATCACTATCGAACAAACCTCAAGTACTAAACACTAATCTACCTTATGAAGTGCACGTGCGCAATTAACCATTTAAATGATGGTGCACGTGCTACTTAAGGTTTAAAATGATGGAGAACAAGCATAAAGAATTAACACTGTTACAAATTTAATGGAATAGTTACTACGTCGTTAAGAAAAATAAATTAGAAATCAAGTTGCAACAATATCTATAGAATGGGGACTAATAATGCAAATTTGGACCTTTTATTCTCTTTTGCACCGCCAGAACATTTCCACATTGAGCTCTCTCTTCCTTTCGCCAACCCAACGTTTTTCTACACAATTCGATTATAATTTATAACTATATAAAAACTATAGAAATTTCGCTATAAAATAGTTTACAAGCAGACACAGTCCGAGAATCATACATCTTTTGCTCCACCGATTCAAACTCAGGTGCTCCGTTTCTGGGCTTCTCTCTCTCTCTCTCTCTCTCTCTCTCTCTCTCTCTCTCTCTCTCTCTCTCTCTCTCTCTCTCTCTCTCTCTCTCTCTCTCTCTCTCTCTCTCTCTCTCTCTCTCCCCGTTCGAGTTATGCATTGACTGATTGGAATTTCAGTTTCAGGGTTTTGAAAATTGAAGAAAACTATGGAATCATCAGCACAGACAGAGTTTGATTATTTGTTTAAGCTGCTGATGGTAGGCGATTCTGGAGTTGGGAAAAGTAGCCTTTTGCTCAGTTTCACTACAAACACTTTCGAAGATCTCTCTCCTACCATTGGTAATTTTGTTATTGTTTCCTGTACACATCGTTACATAGGCATGTTGCTTGAAAGGGATAAATGTGTACATATTTTACAAGTATTTATGTTGTTTGATGATAATTGATAAATGTGAAAACTTGTTCACGATGATCAAAGCCCCACATTTTGTTTAGAGTGTGATAATATTATAATCCGATGAATAATTAGTTTCTGGGCTTTGCCTCTTTAGTAAATTTGTGGGTCCTCCTGTTCTTAAATTTTTAACTTTAGTTGGCTTCAATTGAGTTAAAGGCTTAATGGCGATTTCGTACTTTCAGGCGTGGATTGAGTATGCTATACTTGAGAAGATTTCTGTTTGTTATGATACAGTAACTAGTATCATATTTGTTACATAATGTAGCATGGTATTATAATGATTTAGTTTACGGCAAGTAGTAGAGCAATA